ATGTGGCTAGCCAATTATCCATTTGTTGAAAAGGGTGTCCTTTCCCCATTTTACTTTTTTGTTTGCTTTGTTGAAGATGAGTTGGCTCTAAGTATTTGGGTTTATTTATGGGTTCTGTATTCTGTTCCACTGGTCTGTGTGCCTATTTTTATACCAGTACCATGCTGTTTTTGTGACTATGGCCTTATAGTATAGTTTGAAATCAGGTAGTGTGATGCTTCCAGATTTGTCCTTTTTGCTTAGTCTTGCTTTGGCTATGCGGGCTCTTTTTTGGTTCCATATGAATTTTAGAACTGCTTTTTCTAACTCTGTGAAGAATGATGGTGGTATTTTGATGGGGATTGCATTGAATTTGTAAATTGCTTTTGGCAGTATGGTCATTTCCATAATACTGATTCTACCCATCCATGAGCATAGGATGTGTTTCCATTTGTTTGTGTCATCTATGATTTCCTTCAGCAGTGTTTTGTAGTTTTCCTTGTAGTGGTCTTTTGACTCCTTGGTTAGGTGTATTCCTTAGTATTTTATTTTTTTGCAGCTCTTGTAAAAGGGGTTGAATTACTGATTTGATTATGTGCCTTGTTGCTGTTTGGTGTATAGAAGAGCTATGGATTTGTGTACATTAATCTTGTATCCAGAAAACTTTGCTGAATTCTTTTATCAATAAGTTCTAGGAGCTTTCTGGAGGAGTCCTTAGGGTTTTCAAGGTAAATTGACTTCCTTTTTACTGATGTGGATGCCCTTTTCTTTTCTTTTCTCCTCTCTCTCTCTCTTTCTCTCTTTCTGTCTTTCTGTCTTTCTTATTGCTTTAGCTAGGACTTCCAGTACTGTGTTGAAGAGGAGTGCTGAGAGTGGGCATCCTTGTCTTGTTCCTGTTCTCAGCAAGAATGCTTTCAACTTTTCCCCACTCGGTGTTATGTTGGCTGTGGGTTTGTCATAGATGGCTTTTATTACATTAAGGTATGTCCCCTGTATACCAATTTGCTGTGGGTTTTAATCATAGAGGCATGCAGGATATTTGCCAAATCCTTTTTCTGCCTCTGTTGAGATATCATGTGATTTTTAATTCTGTCTATGATTTGCACTGTGTTCTATTGGTAAAAAACAAGTTATTAAGTCCAGCATAGATTCAAGGGGGGTGGGACAGGAAAGTGTCTTACTTTAGTGTTTCTATAAAGAAATACCTGAGACTGGGTAATTTATAAAGAGAAAAGGTTTCTTTGGCTTATGGTTCTGATGATTAGAAAGTTCAACATTGAGCGTCTGCCTCTGGTGAGGGCCTCAGGCTGCTTCTACGTGTGGCAGAAGGTGAAGGGGAGCCAGTGTGTGCAGAGACCATGTGGCCAGAGCGGAGGAAAGAGCAGGGAGGTGCCAGGCTCTTTTTAACAACCAGCTCTCAAGAGAATAAACAGAGTGAGAACTCACTCACCTCCTCATCCCCCAGGGAAGGCATTCATCTACATGAGGGATCTGCCCCCATGACCCAGACACCTCCCATTAGACCCCACCTCCAGCGTTAGAGATTAGATTTCTACATGAAGTTTTAGAGGAGGCAATCATCCAAACTATAGCAAGAATTTTCTTTCAGCTCTTGATGTAAAGAGTTAGACATGTACAACAGGGAGGGATGTTATTGATGGCAGCAGTCTTGAAAGACAGCCAGTCCTCTGGCCCCCACAGTTCACATGAATCCTACATGAAAGTTTACTCACTTTCCTCCCAGGATCCCCAAAGTCTCATCTCATTAGGACATCAAGCTCAAGTTCTTGATCTTGTCATCTAAGTCAGGCCTGGATGAGGCTTCTTGGGGTGGGTCCCCAAGTACAGTTCTTTTTGATCTGAAGGCCAGCGGACTAACAGGCAAGCTTTTTGCCCCTCACACACCTAGTATCCAGGGATGATCAGCAATAGGACAGCTGTAGGAGACACTATTGTTAATGAAAACTATCGAACTGTAAGATGCTTCTCAGCCCTAGTCCACGGTGGTTGTGAAATCCAGCCAGATATGTATGATCAGTTCCTTGATTAGGGCCCAGACCCAGTCCCTTGAGTGCATCTGTGTGGCTTTTGGCTTCATCCTCTGAGCTCTTGACTCCACACCATGGACTAGTCGTCCTTTTTCATAAGAAATGGCCAGGTTTTGCATTTGAATAGCTTTGCTAGACTGCTTCCTATGGGTAAAATTTGGGGACCTAAACATCTCTTCATTTTGAACTCTCTCTCCTTTTCAGTCTAATCTTTTATAAGCCCATTAGAGAACTACGTGGGCTTCCTGTGTATCTAATTGTAATCCTCTACATTAGACAGAAACTACACCCACAAATCTCTTTTAGACAGCCTCCTTTCTACTTTGAGAGTCAGGGTGCTATGTGACAACACCCTTGAGCTTCTTAAAAACTTTTTTAAAATCTATCATAGGCCAGGCGCGGTGGCTCAAGCCTGTAATCCCAGCACTTTGGGAGGCCGAGGCGGGCGGATCACGAGGTCAGGAGATCGAGACCATCCTGGCTAACCCGGTGAAACCCCGTCTCCACTAAAAAATACAAAAAAAAAAAGACTAGCCAGGCGTGGTGGCGGGCGCCTGTAGTCCCAGCTGCTCGGGAGGCTGAGGCAGGAGAATGGCGTGGTCCAGGAGGCGGAGCTTGCAGTAGGCTGAGATCAAAGCCACTGCACTCCAGCCTGAGCGACAGAGCGAGACTCCGTCTCAAAAAAAAAAAAAAAAAAAAATCTACCATAAGAGAATGTCTAAAAAAAAAAAAAAAAAAAAAAAAAAAAAATCTACCATAAGAGAATGTCTAAGAGGCATGCCCTTAGGATTCTTTTTTTTTTTTTCTTTTTTGAGACGGAGTCTCGCTCTGTCGCCCAGGCTGGAATGCTGTGGCCAGATCTCAGCTCACTGCAAGCTCCGCCTCCCTGGTTCCCGCCATTCTCCTGCCTCAGCCTCCCGAGTAGCTGGGACTACAGGCGCCCGCCACCTCGCCCGGCTAGTTTTTTGTATTTTTTAGTGGAGACGGGGTTTCACCGTGTTAGCCAGGATGGTCTCGATCTCCTGACCTCGTGTGATCCGCCCGCCTCGGCCTCCCAAAGTGCTGGGATTACAGGCTTGAGCCACCGCGCCCGGCCGCCCTTAGGATTCTTAGAAATGGCTTCTTATCTGACATATTCCATGAAGGTGTTTGGTTACAGTAGCACCCCATTTTCAGTTATCACTTTCTGTTTTGATTATGTCATTACATGAAAACATAGTGGCTTAAAACAAAGTGATACTCTGTATTAGGTTGCTTATGACTGTGGGTAAGCAGTTCAGGAAGGGTTCCACTGGATAGCATCATCTTTTTTTCATGTGGAATTAGCTTCCTCACTCACATGTCTAACCACTTGGTGCTCCTTGGTGCCTCACTCTCCATCTCTACCCTGCTCCTCTCTCCTTCACCCCTCTTTCCTTCCTTCCTTCTCCCCTAGATGTGTGTGATCAGTTCCTTGATTAGGGCCTAGACCCAACCCAATCCCCAACCCTTCCTTTATCCCACCTTTTCTCTCTTGTTCTTTCTCTCTCTCTCTCTCTCTGTGCATGGTCTCTCATCCTCCAGAATCTCTACATGTAGTGGTCTCAGGATAGTCACACTTCTTCCCGACAACCAAATTCTAAAAGGCAAAAAGTAGAAACTGCCAGGTTAATTATGGTTCGCACCTGGAACTAGCAAAATGTTGCTTCTGTAATCCGCTGGTCTGTGCAGTTAGAAGGCCAGCCCACACTCGAAGTGGGCAGAGAGGTAGACTCCTCCTCTTGGCAGGGAGCAGCACAGGCTGCAGAAGAGCGTATGAAATGGGAGATACTGTTTTGGGCATCTTTGGAAAGTGCAGCCACATAATTTTTAGAAATTATTTTAAATGTGATTTCTCAACGCCTTGTGTATGGGTATCCATATATGCTATTTTTGTCAGATATAGCAATCATGAATATATTAACTTTGTTAAACATTTGGATTAGGAAGCTCTCCTTCCCTGTTCTTTGCTCAGGAATAATTCAAAAGATTGTAATTAACTATTTGTCAAAAGTTTGAAACAACTTTCATAAAACCACCTGAACTGCCTACATGACAAAGATTTTTATTTGGCCAAATTTTTTTTTTAGTTAAAGGTTTTTTCCCCCCTTGATTTCTTCTATATCATATATGTTTAGAAAGTCTTTCCCCAATTCAGAACATTTGAATATTTAGTCACAGTTCCTATTTGTTGTACTTGTATATTTTACATGTAATTCATTAATCCACATAGAATTGTTTTGGTGTGAGATGAAGGCATAGCTTTCTTTTCCCCACCCAGATTTTGAACCAATTAGATAACAACTCATCCATTCCCTGATAATTTGCATTGCAGCCTTCATCCTATTCAATGTTAAGTATTCTGGAGTCTGTTTCTGGGTTTCTCTTCTCTCCTGTTGATATATAAGTTCTTTTTCCCATGCTGTGTTTTTAATTGTAACTATATTCCAAGCATCTTAAGTTTGTAGAAATCACTAAATGTTCATGGCTATGAAATGTGTGTAAATGCCACCTGACTCATACTAAGAAGGTATGCTTTTAGACTATCGAAGACAAGTTTTTTTCAAAATTCTATTAAGAATTTGTTTAATGTATACCTTAGCCAAATATTTTTGTGCTAACTTTGGTGTCCTAGAAAGGAGGAATAAATGGAACACATACTAACCACGTAGTTATGCTCATGATCATGACTTTCAGATATATAAAGTAGTGTGTGTATGTCTCTCACAAGGAAATGAATAAAAGGAATTTACCATTGAAGGTGATAGTCAAGTAAACTGAAGCAGATGCTAGAAAAGAGTTTTCCTAATTTATTAAAGAAGGCTGTTTGTAGAGTAGATCTAGTAATATTTAATTTCTGAACCATGTCATTTAGCTAATAAATTACTTTAAAATGTACTCTTTAACAAAACGAGTCTTTTATCTTCATTAATGTAGCTTATTTTTGTTTTGCAGTTACTGCTTTGTGTTTGCTCTGGGATACCTCACAGTGTGCCAAGTTACTCGAGTCTATATCTTTGACTATGGACAATATTCTGCTGATTTTTCAGGGTAAGATGAAAACTGATTCAATGGCCTGTTTATCCATTCTAACAAGGTGGTTAAAGAACAAAATACATTTGCATTTAGTAGTTCAAGTGAAAAGCTATTATTAAATATTTTAGTTGAAAATTTCTTTCTAAATTTAGAATTTCTCTCTTGTAAGTAGTCTTTTATAGTACTGTCTAAGTCAGTAAGAGCCTTGTTCTGCTTCTTCCTACCTAACGGGTCTTCCTTTGGTTCTTAGGTCCTTGGGCTAGGTCAGTCTGAGTTTCCTAGAGAAGATGCTCAAGGATGCATTTTACTTCTATGCATTTCACCTCTTTGCAGTGTTCTCCATTTAACACCAGTATTCAGTTGAGCAGTGGAAATAACTTCTAGTATTTGTTCCTTCGAAGGGGATTTATTTTCTTCCTAGTGCTAGATGAGTCTTTTTGTCCTGTAACAAAACTGATTATATGTTATCAGGGGAACTAGCCCCCAATATTTCAATGTAGGTTCTTTTTATTTTCCCCAAGTGTCGACCAGTCTGAGAAATAAAGAGAAAGAGTACAAAGAGAGGAGTTTCACAGCTGGGCTGCTGGGGGTGATATCACATATCGGTAGGTCCATGACGCCCCCTGAGCTGCAAAACCAGCAAGTTTTTGTTAGGGATTTCAAAAGGGGAGGGGGTGTACGAACAGGGAGTAGGTCACAAAGATCACATGCTTCAAAGGGCAAAAAAGGAGAACAAAGTTCACATGCTTCTGAGGCCAATAAAGATCACAAGGCAAAGGGCAAAGCAAGATCACAAGGCAAGGGCAAAATTAGAATTACTGATGAGGGTCTATGTTCGGCTGTGCACGTATTGTCTTGATAAACATCTTAAACAACAGAAAACAGAGTTCGAGAACAGGGAACTGGTCTGACCTCAAATTCACCAGGGTGGGATTTTTTTCACCCTAATAAGTCTGAGGGTACTGCAAGAGACCAGGGCATATTTCAGTCCTTATCGCAACCACATAAGACAGAGACTCCCACAGTGGCCATTTATAGACCTCCCCAGGAATGCAATTCTTTTCCTAGGGTCTTAATATTTAATATTCCTTGCCAGGAGAAGAATTTAGCAATATCTCTCTTACTTGCACGTCTGAAGAAAATGTGGCTCTATTCTGCCCAACCCCACAGGCAGTCAGACCTTATGGTTGTCTCCCCTTGTTCCTTAAAATCACTGTTATTCTGATATTTTTCAAGGTGCACTGATTTCATATTGTTCAAACACACGTTTTACAATCAATTTGTACAGTAGTGGTCTTGAGGTGACATACATCCTCAGCTTATGAAGATAACAGGATTAAGAGATTAAAGTAAGACAGGTGTAAGAAATTATAAGAGTATTATTAGGGAAATGATAAATGTCCATATTAAAATGAAATCTTCACAATTTATGTTCAGCGATTGCAGTAAAGACAGGCATAAGAAATTATAAAAGTACCAATTTTGGGGACTGATATATGTCCATGAAATCTTCACAATTTATGTTCCTCTGCCATGGCTCCAGCCCATCCCTCCATTCAGGGTCCCTGACTTCCCACAACAATATGTCTGTTGTGAGATAAATGCACAAGCTCTCATAAAGTAACTTGCTTTCCATCTTTATAAAGTGACATCTGCTAACACTTTGGTACCAGATGGGGAAGTTGAAGATAAACCTTTATGTATGTTTTTTTATGTCAGGCTTGACTGCTTTCTCAGTGAACAAGATACAGTAGGCCTGCTTTGGACTAGTCTTGAGTCATCTGGACAGCATAAGTAATGAGCAATAAATCCAATTTAAGGATACGTGTATTGGAAAAATCATGGTACCTCTGACAAAAAAATTGTTCAGCAATAGAAATGGACCAAAGTTGTATGAGCTCAGGGAAAAAAGTCACTTCTATGAAACAAGAGAATTTTAGAAGAGAAAGAGGAAATACCTTTTTCTCCCTAATGAGATTGAAGTATATTTTACTACACAGATCTTAAAAATAGGTTCAGATGAAAGGAAATTACATCAAAAACAAATAAAACCCAGGTCAAAACAAAACAGTTTAAATGCACTAAAAACCTAGTTAATCAAAGCTATTGAATGGAATTGGGAAATACACCTGGAAGGGCAGAAAAGGAGAGCAGATGTTGGCAATCCGGTTTATGGATAGTAGGTATTCCTGGAGACCATGACCTCATGGGCAGGATCAGTAGATGCTGGACCACTGTGAAAACCTTCATGAGCTTGAGGAAGTAGCCCAGGTCACATTGTCATCATAGTGTAATGAAATTAGGAAATAGTTATATAAGTTTAAAAGAATTGCAATCACTTAGAAAATTTAATTCTCCTGAGAATTTGCAACCATATTGGTCTTGTTCATCATGCATCCTAGTGCTTAGCACATGGTGGCATTAAATATATATTGAGTCAGGAATAATACTTCAGTACAGAAGAAAGTTGAAAATACAGTGAGAAAAATGGGGGAAAGTAACAGACAACACAAATGGAGAAACTAGAGCCATGTGGGCAAAGGCTGTGCCATCTGAAAGAGAAATTAAGAGCTTCGAATACTTGAATTATAGTAAGTGATAAATAAGCATTTATTCATAGTAGAAAATAGAAACAAAAAACATACTTTTAAATAATTTAGTTTAATGTTGATAACAGAAATATTAACATTAGCAACTTAAGCTTAGTGATACCATAAAATCATGAGTTTTCACATTGACCTTTAGAGTCCTGGGACTCTGCAGGCAGGTTCTGCAGGTGTCTTAGGAGCTCAGCAGATGAGGTTCTAGGTCTTCCAGTCTTGCTTCAGCCACATCTGCTCTGTATTTCTCTAGTTTGTATTTTGGGATCCTGTATAATATATTTCATTAAACATATTTTGTTGCTCTTTTAACCATTCGATTTAAAAAGTGATTTAACATAGCCAAATTGAATTTATTATACAACCATGTGGATTGGTGTTAGTATGGATTTGTGTGGCCCAGTCTTTGCTGGGCTCTCACAGCCCCTCCATCAGTTTGATCTTGGTCATTATCATTACCCTTTTTATTTCCCTGGTCAGCTATTCCAAATTATTGTCAGTCTCAAGGCCTTTACCTAACATTTCTGTATTATCTAGGGATAGGCTTACTACATTTAAAACAGTAACTTTATTTCAGTGGCTTAGCATAGTGAGAGTTTATTTCTCATTCACATTACAGTTCATTGAGGATGGAGTCTCTGCTCCACAGTCATTTAGGGAACCAGACTCCTTCCTTCTTGTGGTTCCACCTCCTTCAGGCTCTGGAATCCTCTAGGTTAAGTTGAGGGCGGGGTGGTGAGTATGAGCAAAGCGAGGGTGTGCCTACGCAGCACTTCTGCCTGCATCCTGTCGGCAAGCGTGAGTCACATGGCCTCACAGATCAGAGGACAATTGACATTAAGAGCATAGCGCATGTTTAAAAAACAGCTGTATAGGACATGACTTTAGAAGTATTTTGCTGACCTCTAAAATGTCATTGAAGGCTGGGTATGGTGGCTCACCCCTGTAATCCCAGCACTTTGGGAGGCCAAGGCAGGTGGATCACCTGAGCTCAGGAGTTTGGGCAACATGGCAAAACCCTGTATCTACTAAAAATAGAAAAAATTAGATAGGCATGGTGGCACATACCTGTAGCCCCAGATACTCAGGAGGCTAAAGTGGGAGAGTCGCTTGAGCCCTGGGGGCAGGGGTTGCAGTGAGCTGAGATTGCACCACTGCACTCCAGCCCAGGTGACAGAGTGAGACCCTGTCTCAGAAATAAAATAAAATAAAGCCATTTAAACACTTAAATGCAGTTTTAAATGTTTAAATATGTAGGAGAAAAACAACCTGGCCTTTTTAAGATAGAAAACCTGTTTATAAAACACCAAGTTTAAAGAATACCTTTTAATCCATTAGGAGAAAACTTTTTATTATTATTATTATACTTTAAGTTCTAGAGTACATGTACACACCGTGCAGGTTTGTTACATAGGTATACATGTGCCATGTTGGTTTGCTGCACCCATCAACTTGTCATTTATATTAGTATATCTCCTAATGCTATCCCTCCTCCAGCCCCCCACCTCCCGACAGGCCCCAGCGTGTGATGTTCCCCTCCCTGTGTCCAAGTGTTCTCATTGTTCAATTCCCACCAGAAGTGAAAAGTGTTTGGTTTTCTGTCCTTCTGATAGTTTACTGAGAATGGTGGATTCCAGCTTTATCCATGTCCCTGCAAAGGACATGAACTCGTCTTTTTTTATGGCTGCATAGTACAGGAGAAAACTTTTGACCATTATCAGTGAACTGATAAAGATTAGACAGTCGAATTAGCTGAAGGAGACCATTGTGGCAGAATGAACTTGAAGGCTCTTGGTTTTTTGGTTTTTGTTTTTTAATGGACACAGGAGAGAAAAAAGCCACCTAGAGACAGACTCTCCCCTTGATGAAGTATTTGGGCACAGGGACCCCTTGAATGTGTGATAATACATGAGCAGAAAAGATCCTGACTGGATCCTAATTAGAGTGAATATCGTAGCTGTTCAGAGTGTCAGATGGCTAAGAAGGTGGACTGGATAGTGACTCACCCTTCGTGCTGAGCTGGCCCGTTGCTCTGATGCTAGAAAGTGCAAGAAGCAAAGCCCAGACTCCGGCTGGGGAATCAACCTGAAATCTCTCTTGTATGGCACAGTTTTACTTGCACAAGAGTATGGAGAAACTGCGTGTGTGTGTATGTGTAAATTGTTAGGTTTAAGATACATTTAAAATGTTGATTAGGTAAAGATAAACTTATACCATAATACAAGTTTCTATTTACAGAAAGGTTGAAAAGCTACTGAAGTTGTTTGATCTCACGTTAGCCTCAGAAAATAGATACAAGAGAAGTATAAAACAACTAAATAGCTTTCTTCATGTCAGCAGTAATCAGTTAGAAAATATGATAGAGAAAGGATCCTTTTTCAAAAGCAAGAAAAACCATGAAATATCTGGTAATAT